GAAAACCTCTATTATTTTGCAAATTTCACAATATAATTAACAAGATATTAAATTCTAAAGATCAAATAAGCAAATAAAATCGCGTGCACGCGACGCATAAGCACTTTAAGATATCTTTCAAAATTCTTTATAAAATATCTTAAAGATATTATCTTAAAATCGATTTTAAACATTTTATTTATTGTGTAACTAAAAATAAAATAGCGAAAATTGCAAAATGATAGAGGACTTTTCAACTAAATTTAGTTCGCTCTACCTGCCCACGAGCGTTGTCGGAAGAATTACCAGACACCTTGTATACCTAAAAATTTTTGTAATGCTTATTACGTTAATCAATACAAATAATAAATACATTCTGTAAAAAAATCAAAAGATCTGAAATAATAGATAATAAAAGTCAGGCATATGTTTTATTAACTCATTTATTATTCAATTTCTTATGTGTCGTTCTTGACGGTCACTTAAATAGTGCCTATACTATCAATATTATTAATACAATATATTGTCAATAATATACATATTTGTTAAATAATCAATATTAATGTGTAATATAAAATATTGTATAATAATATTGATCACATAGACTTTATATCACGTTATGAGTAATACATAATGAATTTTACAAAAACAGCCGACTTAACAAGTAAATAGGTGCAAATGTGACAAATATATCATCCATATTAGAATATGAACGAATTTGCGATTAAATATGTACAATATATGTATATTTATGATTACACATCATTAACCAGCTCACTATTTAAATAATAAAAGTTAACTATTCACATTATCTAGTATGAACAATAACAAGAAAATTAAATATGTCACAACAATCTTGTAAGATGACGTAAAGAATGCATTTGCAGTGATAATTTTGCACTGGCAAAAAACATTTCTTTTTCTACTTCACCTGTTCAAACTGTAAATTTCTCATCAGTAAAAAATTAACAATTAACGTCACACGAGTTATTTCTTTTTAACAAATAGAAAATGTCTTTTATAATATATTATCTTTCATAATCTGATATAAATTTATTATATAATTACCTTATTTAATCAAATAGTAGATTAAATACTGTAAATTCTTAAAGAGATGATATGACTTTTGTATTATAATAGAAATAGAGTTAACAATAAATTGAATATATTTTCTCATTTATTATGATTAATGACTATCTTAGAATATAATAAATTGGAAATTATTTTCACTGATACAAAATTATCTTTGCCATTGTAATTTTAATATTTTATTGCAATATGCTTGTCATAAAGTAAGTATTGAAACAAATATAATCCGGTGGTATCTTTTACAAAAGCATATTGCACACTTAAAGATTTGTGATTGATCTTAATGTACGCGTTTTCAACTTACTAGGTAAACCTTAATTTCTAATTTGATTTATTTATAATTTATTCATACAACTATTTTGTGAGAGTTATATGATAATAAATTAAACTTTGAACGCATGCATATATAATCAAATATTTATTTAGGAAAACATTTCAATTGTCTGTAAAAACAATCGTGATTCTCAATACAAACATTTTAACAAGGCCGGTTCTCGAACAGTGTTATACAAATATTTGTGTAAAAATAAAGATACGTTGAACATGTAATAATAACAATAATTATGAGAAAGAAATCATAAGTGATAAAGTATAGTATAATAATACTTTCGGAGAGATAGAAAAAAACAAATTTATATCTTGATCTTTGACATACACGAATAATAAATTTTTGTCTCGCATATTTAAATACATATACATACATCATGTACGTAAATACGCTAAAAAAATTACTAAATCTTAATACATATTTCTCTGAATAGTATTAAGTAGACGTTAAATTTAATTGCAGTAAATAAATGTTTATACTTAATAAACAAATAATAATTAAATCACAAATTAATAAGTTTTGTATGAAATAAATATATGTTTATATTTAATAAATGTTTACATTTAAAATTATCCAAACAAATATTTATTCAAATTTAGTATTTTTTCAGTGTATGCATGTCTCTCTCTCTCTCTCTCTCTCTCTCTCTCTCTCTCTCTCTCTCTCTCTCTCTCTCTCATCACTATACATACACGCACATATATATGTATATACACATATATAAGTATATATGCACATGTAATAAAACAACTACTATATAAAATATAAATATATAATATTTGTATATCTCTCTTTCTCTTGCCATTTTCACAGCTAGCTGCCTACATAGGATTGGACGGATACAATGTGATTTCACTTTCCTCTCGCGAGGAGAAAAATAAAATTATCACTAAAACTAATAAATTGAAAAAAATATATAAATACAAAAGAAGAAAAAAAAGAGGAAAACGTATCACGTATCTTGCAAATTTCGTTATGCTGAACAGTTTTATAATTAATGATTAAGTTTATGAATGAAAATTATATTCTTTAGAATATAAACAAACTTTATTTTTTGTAGCGTTAAGTTGATTTAATTAATCACCTGAATTAACTTTTATCTATTATAAATTCAATTTTATAAAACATAAAATGTTACACTATTATATTATAATTAATTTTAACCAATGCAAAAAGTAATACAATCAACCTTTAATTATAAACCAACTCTTCAATCAAAATTATTTTTTGTTAAACTAAAGTGTATTATATTACTTACAAAATTATAATAAATAAATCAAATAATACACTTTTCAAAGTATACAACAGTTTCTATGTAATCGGTGTATAATACATTATGAATATTTCTTTAATAAACGTTTAGCAAAACATTATACAATAAATGAACACTAATACTAAATATTATAAAGTACTTAAATGGACGGAAAACTGTTAATAATAATAATATTATTAACACAAATAATTAACAATAATATGTAACTGTATTATTAATACTCATATATTGGATTAAAAAATTCTCGACGAGTTATTAAATTCGGTAACGATTCATTTCCGTATATGTCTTACAGTATGTATAAGTTCATATACATTTTTAAACAAATTTTTTGCTCTTTCCTTTTAAGCATTCAAAAATACGAAAATATTTTAGATATGTGATTACATTACATAGTATTTGTAATAAGCAGGAGAGACCGGAATTTGTTGGAACAGTTTTCACAATTTCAGTATTAGATTTTTTAAACAATTATTACGATTAAAATATATTAATATAATAGAGAGAACTTTCTCTACATTTTCATACCAATAATAGTTCTATACACTGTATAGTTTCTTTGTAATAATAATTAAATACAAAGATGCTGCATTGCATCAACTTGCCTCGATGGGATAAATTGATATCACGATGTAGTGTTGCCTCTCTCTATGATAAACTTCACATATTAAATTAATAAAAACATAATAGAAATAAAACTCAGGTATATGTACTTCTTAATAAAAATTGTATCTTTTAAAATTATTTTGAAATAATCAAATAGCAAAATGTTGTTACAGAAAAACAAATATAAATATTATTATTTTAATTTTACCTTGTTTTAATATAGAAATATTAAATATAAAGCGTTTTGTCAGAATTAAATTACAATTGAATATTCTACACGTATGGTAGAAAGTCTAATTTTTTCTTATAAATGAACCAACCTCATCCCTTCACACGTCTGTGTGATTTATATCATTTTATAATAAATTACCATTATTACTCAAAATAATATGTCTTATACAGACAGTTTTCATAATAAAACAAGTTGAAAATTCGGTTTAGAGCCTTGATACGTGATTAACATATCTCTCAACATAAAAGGGGGAAGAGATTAGATTTATAATTAAACTTTAAACAAATGCACGACGAACTTTTTATATCATCCGCTTTCGCATAAACTTTCAACAACAATAAAAGTAATAATTCTCTAAGACATCATTATCAACGATTTTTTGCTCATTATCAATTCTATCTTTTGGCATGTACTTAATAAAGCAAGAGCGTAAGATGTGTTAATATGAAACATTGAGATAAAATACAGTCTTTATTTCACAAATATCTCTTTAAAAGTATATTTATATATAAACATAATTTTTTAAAATTTTAATATCTGTTAAGAGGATTTTAAAATAAAGTCCAAGTTCCGATAAGATCGCTGACTGATAAAATGCGATATATCATCTTTATATACAATACTACTACATCAATATCACGCACACATATATATAAATTTTCATAAAACAATAACGTTTGGTTTTAATTAGACATCTGAGTCTAATACTAAGAAGTCTACCGTATTTGTTTATGTAAACTACTAGTCGTGAGTAATACTGACTTGCGAAATTGTGGACCAGAATGCAAAGTTTTTATATCAAGCAAACATGGTTAAAATATTGACAGTTCTGACGTCATATAATTAGATTAAAAAATGGTAAAGATCTCAATTTAAATAATTGCTTTCGTTCTCGGCATAAACTTTACCTCACAGACATATATTAATGCGTATACTTTAATCTTAGAGAAGAATTTTCAAATTTATAAAGAGGAAAATAGTAATTGTTATATAATAATTATTGCGTTTAGTCAGTAAAACAGACTTTAGAATCCCCTTAACACATATCGCAATAAAATAAAAATATAATACTATCATTTACATATCAATAAGATACATTTTTTTTCCTTCTTTTTATTTTATCAAAATTCATATTTTTATAGTAACACATTTTACTTAAAAAGTTAATTGAATGCAAAGTTGATTTTTGCTTATAATGTGATTGATAATCGCAACTAATTTCAGCTACTTACTAATATCATTTGAATTAATATCAATTTTATTAATTTAGCTTACGTATTTATGAGATTAGCTATCTTAATATCATATTCTTAATGTGCGAATTTTATTGGTCAATATACTCCATGAAATTTATAAAAATACGTGCATGACATTAGGTCAAAATTTTCATCACTTATACATATACAAACACATGCCCACACACATCCACACACAAACACACACACACAAGTGTTATATTTTATATAATGCTTTTTTAATCTTCTTTATATTTTAGATTCTGCGTCATCATGATTTATTTATAACAAATGCAATTTTCCTCGTTTTTTTCTATCATATATGATATGTTTCTCTATTTTCCATCCTTTTCTCCTGCCAATATTTTTATCATATTTCATTTTCGTTATATTCTATTATATTAATCCACTTATAAATGTATATGTCGTGTAAAGATATTGTAGAAAAATTGAAAAAGACCTAATATATTCAACAAGTCACTATTAACATGTTAAGCGCCGAGCTTATTTCGTTAAACTTTCCGTTTACACCACACAATACTGTCGACTGGAAAAATACGCGCTATGCGCGAACTGAAATAAATAAAAGAATGAGAAGCAAAGTGATGCCATCAGTCACACAAAAGGCATAGTACATTTTGTTCTGTAAAGCAGATCTATCAAATATTTTAAAGTTTTTGAAACATACCGCTGCACTGACATGGAGTAAACGGAAAGTTCGGTGCCGGTTCGTAGGAATCAGCATGGCGTAAAACGTATTCAAACCACGCGTTTGATCTGAATTTCTTTGATATTTAACTCAGGTAGCTTTGAAGAATTCCGACGATTATCAATCGTAACTTATTTACATTTTATTTTAACGATATTATACCAAACTCACGAACGATTTGATTCGCATCTTTGGAACTTACTAAAAGTCCCATTATCAAAATCATAGACGACGTCACCTACAGAGAACTTTAACATTCGACTATGATGGAACAGTAAAAATCGTTTGATACCGCAAAGACATCGTCTCTGATCGCCGAATCAACCATAGTTAGTGATATTGGAAATCACCTACCGTTAATGGAACATGCACATGGAACTACTTCGAGTAGACGTCTTGTCATCACCATTCAATTTCCTGTCGCAACAGCCTTGAACGATGACGATACTGCAATCACGTAGCAAACGCTCAAGCTGACAACGCGCACGTGTCAAAAGAGCGTCAGTTAAACTTCCGTCGAATGCGTCTGTATACGCACTTTCTTTTGCGAGCCGTTCCTCGACAAGGTTGGGCTGTGTGCCGAGAAGCCAGGATTATGAATGCCAAGAGGTTTAGGCTTCTTCAGAGAACTCCTAAGGGGCGAGGCTGTGCTAGTCACGCTACTGGAAGTCGCTACCGAAGCCGTCGATCCATTTCCGGCCCCACCGACATACGGCTTGCCGCTGGCGTCTGTCATCGAGATCGTGCCACCTGCAACGTAATAAGATTAACAACGCGATTACATTTTGTTCTGTTCTTGATGCTGCTTGATTAAAACAGACTTTTACTTTTTTTTTATTTTTTTTATATTCGGAATGTTATCAATGTAATCGAACTATTATCAAAAGTACGTACATTTTAGATTATACTCATACAGTACAAGCCTACATAAGACGTTTTAAAGAAAATGAAAAACATCCTATATACTAAGAATGTTCTCAGAATGTCTCTCGGTGTACTGTATGAGTATAGATATCTACACTAAAAAAAATATAGTCAATTTTAATAAATATTTAGTTGAATACTTGCCAACTAAATATTTATTAAATATAAAGATATATTTATTTGATACAAGAAATGTTACTTTGATTCAACAATCTTTTTTTTTACTAAACAAATATCTATTTACTGTAAGTAAATGTTTAATTGACAGTATTGAATTAAATATTTATTAAAATTGACTATATTTTTTTCAGTGTAACATATACAGAGGGACAGAGAGAGAGAGAGAGAGAGAGAGAGAGAGAGAGAGAGAGAGAGAGGTCTGCATAGGACTGATACTAATGCAATAGGATGCATAAAAGCTTACGAGTTGTGATATGCACTTCTAAAATATTTTTAAAAAATTGACATTTTTCGGATTACTTACTTAAATGTTTGTAAATGTAACAATGTGTATTTTTAATAATATAATTCTTAAGATCCCGTAAGTTATTGGATCTAAAATTATTATTGTTTAAAAAGGACATATTGTTATGCATATTTAAATAAGTAATCCCAAAAGTGTTAATTTTTTTAAAAATATTTTCAAACTTTTGACTTGGGGTATATTATATTGTATATTAGCAGAAAAAGTATCATAGATAATACTTCAATTACATATTATTATTCAACATATTATTATTATTCAAATTATATTATACGTATATTATACGCAGTGTGTGTTACAACATTGATAAGCATTACACGTGCCAGGATGACAAAAAAAGCCACTTCGTTTTATGATTTAACATATTACGCTAAGTTACGGTACATGGATTTGATGTATTGGAAGTGACCTTTAAGCGCAGTAATATGGCAAAGATATGCAGCGTAGCGTACATCACGATGAATTTATTCGGTATCTCAAAAATGCTATGTAGTGACGAGCAAATACACAAAATACATAATTTATTTCATTTTGCATATAGGTATATTTGTGTGTGTGTGTGTTTAAAAGCGAGAGAAAGCGTAGTCTACGCGTGTACTACTACGTTCTTCTTTCTACACTCTTTTCTTCTTCTCTCTTATATCATTCTCTTATCACGTTTATGGACATCGACTTCTAAACTTTATCACTTTTAGTTCCAAACATGATAATATCATCCTTCTTTTCTGAGAATTATATCGATTTTATGTCGATCGACTAAATTAAGTTCTTTCGGAAAAGCCGACCATCAAGTATTGACAAATATGACCTACAATATAAATTATTATGGAAACTTCGTTGCGAAAGTGAAATTGAGTGTTTCAAGAAGAAAGGATACGCCAAAGCGGATCTTAATAAAGAAAAGTCATCCATAATGGAACAATATATAAGTCATAACGCAAGAAAAAAGCTCTCTCTCTCTCTCTCTCTCTCTCTCTCTCTCTCTGTGTGCGGTTTTTAAAAATGTTTTAATTCTTAGAAAAGATGAACAGTAATTGAATAGAGATGAAAATTAAATTACATTGTAGAAACGAGTATTAATAAATTTTTTTAAAATATTTTTTGTACATAATACGGCATGTTAAATTATGGTTTTATTTAGCTTATCGCATCCAATGTTAAATAAGGTTCGTAATGAATAGAAATACAATTTCGCATTAAACTAAATGTGCTTTAAAAACAGATGTTAATCGTATTGACTGCCAGTTTGATGAATTTTATTGTGAGTCTATTTGCCATAATATCAAAAAGGATAACATGTTTATATTCAATAGGAAAATTTAGTTGAATTATCATAGATATCAGAAAATTGAACTGTCCAGTTCGGGCTTACCGTTCGTGGGTTGGTGATATTCCCGATATCCTGGATTATTTATGGTGGCTCCACGAGGATCTGTGACGACCCTAATCTTAGTCGGATCGCCACCTCTTCGGGCATAAATGCCCTCGTAAATGGCAGAGACCAGTACACCAAAGTTCAAGGCAATGGCAGCCAACTGCAATAATAAATAAAATCTACTAAAAATGTCTTGATCAAAATCTAATCGTGCGAAGCTACGTACATACATCAAAAATATCATATCTTCTCTTAGCACATTTCATAATTCTTCTTCCCCATTTCATACATTTCTCGTCAAGTAGTAAAATATTAGATAATAACAATTATTTGTAAGCAATAATTCAGAAATGCTTTATATGCTCTTGTAATAAACCAAAATTTAGAAATTAATACATGTATAAGAAATATATTATTAAAGAGGAAAGATTATATAAGAGATCATATATTATTAAACAAGATTCTACATCCTTTTTATGAGACTTGTAATCCATCAACACATTCGATTGGAATTAAAACATAATATATTTATCACAAAATAAATAAACATATACATGATGTACATAATCGTTCTGGTTGCAATCATATATTTAATATTATATTGATTGAATAGGTATAAAATAGATATATAAATAAAATGCATACTTATTGTTTGAGCTTTAAAAAGTTTTTTATTGTAAAATTAAAAAAGTCTTACGTGTTTGATTTTAATTTAAAAAACGACTTTGATTTTTTTCATTTTATAGTTTTAAATGTTTTCTATTATGTGCTTTTACACATTGCTGAGAAATTACTGAGAATATGGATTTTACTTTTAGATATTATACTCGTATAATTTAAAGAGCCTATAACAGAATCTTGTCACAAAAAATTTTGACAAAACAAGAAAAAGAAGAATATATACCATTTCTTTTTATATATGCTATCTTATTGTATCTTATACTTCCTAACTTACTGAAGTTGACAAAAATGTCAATCAAAAGTTTATTAACTCATGGCCAAACAATGTTATGTCTCCAGTATAATTAAAGCGAAGTTTATATAAAATTGATAATAATAATAAAATTAATTCACTAAGAAGCCTATTATATCTATAAATTGTTTATTTTACGATAAAGATTTATGATCTCTGAAACGAGAGGATGCACCTATCCGGAAATGAGACTTAAATGAAATCACAAAAGCTCGGACTGTAAACTTTACGTACACACTCATAAGAAATCTATTGCTTTTCCGAGAGAATCGCGCATTTATTTTCCTTTGCACTAATTGGCTTGTAGATTCCAATTACTTGACACATCATTCGCTGTTCTAATCCGCTGTACTAATTTGGCGCATCTCCATGTTTTCAAAATATCATTTCACATCGAGACTTCGCTATATACATGCCGCAATGCCATAGTCTCTACTATCTTGCAGGAAAACGATTACACACTATGAATCCCATCTCCAAGCGCGCGAACAAATGTCTCTCTTTCTCTCTCTCTCTTTCTCGAACGTCGTTCCTCCTTACACGACGAGCGATTAACTAGGAGATCCTCATCATGTACTATCGATATGAGCAGAAGAGGCATCATCCGTAGGTGGTGATCGACTGGATGGATAGTGGAAGGAGTGCGCGAGGAAGGGGAGACAATTTAATTAGGGCCAACAAAGAAGCCACGCGCGCCATTGTCGTTCCATCGCTATAATTAATCTGGTCGTCCGGTGTTTGCCTTCTTTCTTTTTGTCCTCCTTGGGGATGAACGTCGCGACGAGTTTCTCTCCCCTATACATGAGAGACTTGATAAAAAAGAACGCAAGTAACCGCTCATCGTTGATGTTCTTCACCACCCCCTTTTGATTACCAAGGCGATGGTTATTTTTCCTGTTGCATTGGACGGGTTTCTTTCGCACTAATGAGGTAATACGTATGAGTATTATCAAATAAATCAAAAAAAAATTCGCGGTAAAATAACGAAAATTTTAAAAACGAATGATTGAACAGAAAATAAAAGGAACTTGATTTGGACGAAAACTGGTTTGTTTTTTATTGCTGCTCTCTGAACTGATGCAATAAGTTAAAGTAAAACAATTATACGTTTGTTTCACTTCAATTTATTGCATCGTGTGCACCAATTCAGAGAGTGATAAGAAACAGATCTTTAAGCATAATAAAAAAACAGACTTTTTATTTCATGCAAACGAGTATGCGTATGTATCACATGATTTCACGATAAATGATATTTTCACACGTATGTAATAGCATACATTAATTGTATAAACGAGATGACTTGGTGTCGTAATAAAACTCTGCTAGATATAGCAGCTGTTGTGTGCAACATTAAATTGCTTGCTTCAGTGACTTTTTTTGCGTAACATTTACAGCGAAAATTATTTGCATTATCAATTAGATGCAACTTGATTTATTTTAAAGGAGATAACTTATGATTATTATTCTTCCTTTTTAATGGCGATCATAAATTCCTTAATATAGAACTGATTGTTCTTTGATGGAATTACCAAGTTATAAATTTAAATATAATAAAAGATATAACAAAAGTTTTCTGTTATTTTCATTTGTACATTTAGTATACAATATTGCTAATATCATGGGAAAGTAAAAGCAAATACATTAACTCAATTGAATTTCTTTGAGTAATGATATTACCTTGCCTTGTTTGTGCTTATTCATTCTGTCCAATTCAATTTCGTCCTTGGCCCCTTTCAAGAGACTCCGTTTTCTCTTGTCCATCATCGTATATTTTTTGAAGATAAGATATCAAAATATCGTATCTAACATAACGATAAAACAATATCGATGTTGAAAGAGAATTTATCGCGAGCGAAATATACAATACAGTGACTAATCAATCGAAATTTCGTCTTTTTTAAATATATTATATATTTAATTTTTTAATATATACTTATTCAAAATAATATGACTAATAGCTTTGAATGGCAAAAAGTATTGCTCACGTTCGAGTTTGCATGCCACGACAAAAGGCTGAACTCATACCAGCTGAGAAACGAAAAAATTCACTTATCGCAAAAACTGAGAACGAGGACAACACGGCGAGTTCATTAACGAGCCACACCGAAACACTCACTGCAGGTCCGCCAATGTCGGCTCATTGTTTTAAAAGTATCTACGAGTCGTGGTTGCTCCGACACATACTAAGTTACAATCGGTGGGGAGACAGGGACTTAAAGAAACACCTGAGTCCAGTTCACGATCAGATGACTTCTAAGCTTAAGTTTAATTCTTCGTTAGATATACGTTTCTGCGTCAATTGACAATTTATTCGCACGCCAACGGAAGTACATGGTATTAGCTTGATAAAATTATCTCAATATGCTCATCCTTTTATCTCTCTTAATTTTTTTATATAAGTTCTGCAACTTCAAGCATAGTAGATGATAGTAAGTTTAAAATAATCTATCTCAGCACATGTTCATAGTATATTATAATCAGGCTAAATTTTCACGCAGAAAAAGAAATTTATGGAATCTTGGCATAATTTTGCTATGAGATCATAATATTTCTGAAATATATTCCATCACATAATATGATGATATTTAAACACATTTAACAATTACAAATGTATTTTCATGATTAAATAAATCTTATTTATTAATGTTGTTATTTTACATGCATTTTAATCAAATTGAACTTGAAAGAAAAAGAAAGAGACAAAAATTTATTCATTTAAAAAATACATATTAATAGATTCGTGCATATTAATAATTTATAAGTGCATATTGATTTAGAATTAATGGAAATATATCCCTTTTCGCTATTCAAATAGAATCATTTCCGCGAAGAATTATAATAAAGAGTTTGGTATTTTCTTAACAAAATCGGAACTTTACTATATATACTGCAAGTGTGGAATTGCAAAAACCGTAAATATTAAGAGAGAAAGTATTTTTTCATCGATCTGATAATATCCCATACGAGATGCGCATCACATATATAACGTAATAACAAGTTGAGTATTTCCTTGGCGGAATCTCTATTGCAAGTACTAAATTGCAAAGACCATGAATGTTTCATCTGCATTGGGAGAAACCCGAGCTGCCGTCTTGCGATAAGAACAAACTTTCGAAGTGCGTTGGCGACGTTATCGTTTAGTTTTATAAAACGTGACGTTCTTCCATATGTCATCATTGTCGCTGTTGCATCGTACTCTGCGGTCGATATCCAATTCAAATTACTATTCATTGCCAATACGAATGTAATTTATTTTTTGATTAATCTGTATATCCATATTAAAATAGGTTTAATAGAGCCACATATTATATTGGAATAAAAATGTATTCGCGTATAAGAGAGATATTTTTATTTAATTAACAGTCTCCGTAATTTTAATAATATTTTTAATAATAACTTAATAATAACATTTAATAATATTACTTGAACGAAAAGATTGTTCTTTATTTCTTTTTATTAATCTATAAAAATTTAAGGTTCTTAAATATACACACACACACACATATATATGTGTGTGTGTGTGTGTGTGTGATCATTCCGCGAAGAATTGTAATAAAAAGTTTGGTGTTTTTCTTAACAAAATCGGAATTTTACTATATATACTGTAAGTGAATACTGAATTGCAAAGACTGTGAATATTAGAGAGAAAGTATTTCATCAATCTGATCATATCCCACGAGATACGCATCGCAGATGTATTAATATATTCTAGCAAGAAATGCGTTGTATTACATAAGTAACATTATATATTCCATTTATATATACATACAGGATGTCCTATTTTAATCAACACAATTTGAATTTCTCAACTACGCAAGATATCAAAATCCTATTTTGACGATGTTGCGTGATCGAGGGGGACATATTTTGATTAACAAGATCTGATTCCTGGTAGAAGATCAACTTTATTTTTGTAAATAGCAATCTAATTTTTTGAACACTTACGAAGTTTAAGACTTGGAAATTATTCGGGGTCAAGACCTTGACAATATGTTAAGATCAAGATCATCAGAACGGGTTCTCTCCATCATATTTACCAAATCGATTTTTTCAAAAATTAATTTATTATTATTTATTCCCCTTTAGATAACTTTTGTTCAAAACATTTTCAGATAACTTTTGTTATTTTAAACATTTTTTTAAAAAATTATTTCCTTTTATTTGAAAATAATACAGATTAAGATATAGTACAATTTTGAAAATACACTCGAAAAAGTCTGATTGCATTAGTTGAAACTAGTAGTAGTTAAAAATGAATAAATCAAAGAATTTTCTTAAATTAATTAAATCTATTATAACTCTAGTTGAGATAATCCTAATTCTAATTGATATGATCAGAATTTTCTGGTTCGTTTATTTTCAATCAGAAAATTTTTTACAGCGTAGTATATAATTCTGAATAAAATAGGATTTGAATCCAATTTCGAAGTTTAAGTTTAATTTTTTCCTTTTAACACGACACGCCAAGTGACGTACTGAGAGCGATAATAAAATTGTTTAAAAATTATTTATAAGGCGAAACAACCTTTGATAATAATTTATTCGTATAAAACTCGGGCGGAACATATCAGAACTATTGTCAAATATGCCCAAAATTATCGAGTCGATATGTTTCCGTGGAGTTCGAATATTCTAACCTGGATAAAAATTATTAATTGTGCGAATTTTGTCCTAAAATGTTATATAATAATCAATCTAGTTTAAAAGAAACGGGAATACTTGACAGATGTCGTAATATTCGATAGTACTTTAGAGGAAATTATGCTGTGCTGAAACGTGAAGTTAGCATTCTTTTCTTTATTTTTGATTTTTTTAATATTAAAAATGCAGAGCACTTTGTTATTTTTGAAAGAACAGTACAGAATAATGGAAAGTGCTACCAAACAATCATTATTTTTAGAAAATTAATAAAATGCTATGCTAACTTCACAGACACGGATAGTTTGAATATCTTAATATTAGCGTATCAAACGTGCATGAAATACGGATGTAAATCAAACAGAGCAAGTTCAGAATATATACACTGCTTCTGCGTGCAACAGGTTCGGGGACTAGTGTTGACGTCAGCGAACAACATGTTTTAACGGTACATCAGTATGAGAAATTAGAAACTTGAAAATGGATACATAACACATTCTATTGAAAATTATCTCGTTTGTTAACGGCATCGCGTTAACTCGAAGGTCACTCGAGAAGTTAATTAAAGAAATATACGCACATATATTGAAAACATTAGCAAGTAAATGTTGAAAAAATTAGAGAAGAAAAATTGTCACACATTAAAAGTGTAAAACATCACATTTAAAGTGTAAAATGCAGATAATAAATTAATAACAAAATTATCTAGTTATACTAATGGGATCCGTAGTACTAACACGAATACACAAAAACATATGTCACAGAAATATTATTATTTTAATAAAAATTTCTATAACTTTTCTTACCGTTACAAAAAAAAAACAAAAATTTAAAATACGAAATTCAAAAACAAAAAAATTGTTTTTCATTGTATAGTTAAAGTTATTTTCGTTAAAACTTACAATGTTTAAATATAAAATTGGTTATCTATTTTAACTAATTAATATTATATTTTTTATTTAATATATCCTATTATTAACCTATTACTTCCTATATAATAATGTATGTAACTACAATACTTCAATATTCGACATAATAAATAAATCTATATTTGTTGATTCTTTTATTTAAAAAAGATTTAAAAGAAAAAGTTATTTTCAGCTAAAAAATGCGCGAAATTAAAGAAAAAAGAATAACACACATTTTGTCGCACTACATTATACTTTACCTGCATATAAAAAGCTTCTCCTCTTGTGATGACAAAACTATTGGCTCGATCATCTGTTTGAAGAGCGAAGAGGCTCGCTGCTACAATCGATAATGCCGCTGAAAAGAGAAATTAAACAAATCGATTTATAAAATTTTCAGTTTTCAATCTTATTCAGACGATTAAAATTGCATACAATATTAAATTTTATACAATTTCAATGCAATATTATAACACAATTCATTATATTATTGTTAGATATTAAAAAACATACAAAAACTATATGAATAAAAAAGACTCAAATGCGTGCACGTTGGTGAAATACATTTAAAAAAATGTACTAAATCTTATTATATATATTTTTTTTAAAAAGTTGGTTATCTATTTTAATTCATTAATATTATATTTCTTATTTAATATATTACCGATTAAATATTTACTTACAGTAAATAAATATTTACTCAATAAAAAATTATAAATTAACGGTTAATAAACATTAATATACATATATATATTTACATTTAATAAATATTTACTTAGTACCGTTTAAATAATTATTTATTAAAATTTAGTACATATTTTTTTAATATTCAATATTTTCTTAACTTATGAAAAATCATTATATAATCAACACAAGAATAAAAGAGATTACGCGGTATTGTCGCAGCGCATTATAATATTGCTTTAATATAAAATAATCTCCCGTAGACAAACACACGCATTCAATGCTTCATATAAGAGCTCGCACATATGTAAGTCAGTAAATAAACGAACGTGAGCAAGCGATAATTCTAGTATATTATACGCCCGTGATGTATATATTACAAAAATATGATGCACTAATAGAAGGAACTTCTAAATACTTTAATATAATTCGGATACTTTATGTACTTTCAAAGTTTCAAAGTTTTGACTCATAACGATTATTACGCAATGAGTACTAAATAAATATATAAGTACGCATAAAATATAAATACGTAATCTTAATATCAGATATGAATATATAATTATACACTAAACATTAAAATTGGATTATAAAATAATTTAAAAAAAAAATATACATATATATACAATATATATATTCCCTATATTCAAAAACAAGAAAGAAGTTTTGGCTAATCAAAATCGGCGCTATAAAACAGTGCGCAAATATTTTAGTAAACAATATTAAACCATTTAAGATATTTCTTCAAAAATATTTAACAATTAGTCATCATAAAAAAAATACGTTTCAGTTAATTTATTAACCATCTTCAGCAGAGAAAATAATAAATCAAAATTTTACTTCAAATTTATCACTTTATTTTATTTTTTCATAAGTAAATATAATTTTGATTAATTATGTAACATTAAGTATAGTTTTACATTAGTAAATTAGCTAAGCAAAATATTCAAATTATTTTGAAATTTTTCTTTTCCCTTCTCTCTCTCTCTCTCTCTCTCTCTCTCTCTCTCTCTTCATTTACAAATATATTAGAAGATAATTTGTACTCACTTGCCAATGTAGCAAGGGCGACTTTGCCTATTAAGGCAGTACTATATGAAATTACAACTCGCTTCGCGGAAGAGGCCATCGCTAATTGAAGCACAGCCAAAGCGACCAGAATCCCCAAAAGGGCAGAAGCGGCAGCGGCAGCTAATCCCGCCACCCACACAGCCACTGGAAATAAAGGAAAAATTTCATCGTAATTCTAATACATTGTAATGTAATCCTGCACTTGCTTTCTATAGGAATCCATAGGAATTTTTGGCGCTGTGTAATTACACAACTCGCCCTTTTTCACATGCAATTTTTTGTGATTGAGAAATGATAGAAAGAATAAAATAAAAAGAATAATTTATCATAGGATTTTCATTAATGTTAACAACTCACACACAATATATAAATTTTTCATGAATTTTGTTAAAAAACTAAATAAAGATATTGTATTGATCAGAAATATATAACGTAAATAGTCGTTATGCAATATTTAAAATCAAAATTGTTTAATATTAAAATTGTAATTGATTCAACATACATTTAACTTTTAATTAAAAACCGTAATATTTCATGACTTTATTTAAACAATTTAAATTTAGAAAAAATTGAAAAGTATACAAAAAAATACGTTCGTTTAATTTGACCATACTGAATGTTAATCGCAATTTATCTTTCTTGTTAATTTTCTACGCAGAATGTTTATAAGAATAGACATTATTCAAGATCTCATAATATGGAACTATGGTTTTCAAATTATAATATAAAACAGTCAATTACAGTCAAAGTTGGATGTTTCAAATATTACATTATTACAGTATTTATTAAATAAATTTATTTTAGACATAACTGCGCGTCGATAACTTTCGGACTTTCAACACAATCAATCTGAAATATTAATAATCTCCCCTTAAATTAAATTAGAAAATATAAGAAACTTATTGCGAAAAATATTACCTCAGCCAGGAGTCGAACCTGAGACTTTCCAGGGCAGGTGTTCTCAGCCATCTCGACCACTGAGGCTTCGGAAATATTCCTCGCAATAACTGATATGTATAGAGAGAATGCTTTAAACGATAGAGAGAATTAGCGCTTTACGCTAATTATTGTTTTATTATTACTATCAAAATCAGAATTACAGACTACAAAAATTTTGTAGAAAAATGATATCGTTTTGGCGAAGAATGGCATTATAAAAATATCAGCAATTTTTATAGTCACACATAAAATAAAACTTACACACTGGTTGAAACCTGGAGACGCTTTGGCCGCACCATTCACGTCCATAAAGAAGAAGTTTACATTGTCTCCATGGTCCGAAGTAACCCTTCTCCGCGGCAGTTCCAGCTGTAACAATAAATAAATAGGAAAAATAGAATAAAATTTTTTTTTTCTTGTGTAAGAATCAGTATAAATTAATCTGCAATTTTATCGAAACAAGCTAACAATCAATAAAATAGTATGACCTATATCAAGTAATTCTAGAATGTATAATTTAGTACGTCAATTTTATTCAACGCTATTTGAATTGTAAATAGAAAAATTAGAATGATAAATTAATGTATAATCATTCTACATAAAAATAAAAAAAATATAAAAAGTGAATTAAAATAATAAATAATAATACATATACACTTATTAACAAAGGTTAAGAAGCAAAGTATTTTTTTAAGAATTATATTTTTTTATTTTTTGGGATACATACGTTAGAAATTAAAGAAATGTGAAACAATATCATTTTTTACATTAGGTAATTGTAAATGTTCTTTTAAATATATTTTTACAAATGCTAAAATCAATATCAAATCGAATAAATATAACACTGCTAAAAAAAAGTTCTAGCAGAAGAACAGTTGCAATTATTATTAACAATTACAATATTTTCAAACGAATCAATTAACTTATTCCCCATTTTAATTTTTGATGGAAAAATATAAACTAGGATATTCCATTAACGATTAAACAAATAATAAATAAAACATTTATATTATTTATAAATAAATAATAAATAAAAATTTATAAACAATAATAAATAAAACATTTATAAAATGATTAATTGTAATGTTATTTTGAATATTTCTCAGTTTTCTCTTGATGTGCAAGTTGTTTTATGGCAACAAGAAATCGACTGGCACAGTGGCACCGGTGTTCAATGTTTGTCTTTTGCAACGTATACAACATTACTGTATTGTATACACATGCTGACCTTACTTGCCATCGGCGCAAAATGAGATACGATTGAGTCGGGTAGGCAACGGCACGCATTATAATTATTCCTCAAAACGCGCTCGCGACAAATAACGAAAGATGTCAACAGCGATCATTTTGCATTAATGAATATTAACGACTTGAATAATATATGGAATCAATACAATTAATTATTCATATACAAGTATTATATTTTAAACAAATATGACAATATAAAAAGTCTGAATATTACAATAAAGGATATAAATTATAAATTATAAACTGCGAGCAATTTACAAATAATATTATTCGAAAAAAACTTTCTTTCTAGATCACAAACACGTTCAAGTAATTTATAGATTTACTCAAGGAAATACTTATAGATTTTTGGTCGTTAAAAACGATTCCGATATAAAACTATAAAAATATAATTATTACTATTAATATTATAGTAGTAATTATAAATGGAGTTTCTAATCATAATAATTTTATCATATAATTGTAATCACAAATACGAAACATTCTTTCAGTATGTACACATCATACTGATAAGTTTAAAATTATTTTTTATTTTGACTTGAGATAAATTGTTTATGTTTTGAAGTATTTAAAAAATATTTTGATATTGCGTCTTATCTCATGAAGGATGTGTTTTTGGAGATAATTTTCCAGTGGTTAGGATAACGAGGATGCTCGTGGAAGCGACAACCTCAGTAATTATTTGATGGCATATCTAGCGACGCATTCAAAAATCACTTAATGCATCTTGAAAGGCTCGTCGCACGTTTTCAAGCAGAAAGGATACTAATGCGAATCGTCACTGTTGTGACAACATTTGACAACAACATTTGATTCCCCACAACTAGAAGCACGCAAAAATTTCACGGTATAAGCTAAGAAATTTTCATCTCTTTTAAAAATGTTTTGGCCGTATCATTATCAGTTAAAAGTATCAGCCAAAAAATCAGTAAGTTCTATACTCTATAATATTGGACGCGTTTTCTCTACATTAAATTATAAAAAACAACGGCTCAACAGAGAAGAAAGAGGCAAATAAATACTTTCTAGCTCTTTCTTGCAAAAGCATAGTCAAGCAGCGAGCCTGACAAAAAAAACAGCATAATCTTTACAACAAAGTATTATTGTGTAAAAATTGAAATATCTTTTCCGTGATGACGCGCAAGTATATGTTATAAAGTTTACTGGAAAAAATGAACTAAAAAAATGAACTAAAAAAAGCCAATATCAACCTTATATCAGTCAAAAAATTTTAGTATAAATATGTTCTGAAACCAATTACAAAAAACAACAAATAATTTGATTTATAACGACTTATAAAGCGCAATGTAATCATAATTTTCTAATTTTTATATAAATAACTTTTAAACAAGTGGGGTAAGACCACTCAAGAGTACACACCGCTTATATAAGAATACGCATTGAGCTTTACGGCGCAATTATTAGATCGTAGCAGCTGTAATTCATACAAAACGTGTCTCTTTGGTTAACCAATCTGTGTATAAAAAATATTTCTTTAAATATATCTTTGCGAGAAAGCATCGTAACAATTTTTTTAAAAATCATTTATTAAAGCTTAAAAAGTTTATTTTAAAATGTTGATCGATTAAATTTTGTTCCATGTTTCATCCAGGTAGAGCACTTAAAAAAAATGACAAAAATATTGAAAAAAATGTCAGTTTCCAATTTTATATAATTTAGAAGGAAAATATATTATATATATCATAGAGACAAAATTCAAATGTCCGATTTTGAAACTGTATATTCTTCTTCTTCAAAATACATTTTAAAAAACTTGTCTATAATTTCACTAAAATATTTACATCTTTGTGAAATGTGAAAAAATTGCAAACGGTCCCGAATATATGAACGGAAGTATATATTACAAAAAGTAAATAAAACTAAAAAAAGTCACAGGTAATCAAAAGACTGTTTACTGTTTATGATAAAGTTTGAGCATATAAAGATATAAATCAGCATAAAAGATATATTCAAATCTTTTCGCAAACAATCTTTTAATTACTCGATTATGTTAGTTTTATTTTCTTTTCATAAACAGCAGTTTTTTTTATCGAAATATATTAAAGAGAGCATATGAAACCAATAGCAAGATGTCATGTAAGGATCAAAGATGTCATGTAGGATAAAAGACAGTATTTTGCTGTATATCACGTTTGATCAATATAGTCATCAATAATAATTAGATTAGCGCTCGCACGCACGCTCTCACTCTCTCTCTCTCTCTCTCTCTCTCTCCTGCTCCTCCTCCTCCTCCCCCTCCTCCTATCTCTCTCTCCCTCTCCTTCTCTCCTCTCTCTCTCTCTTATCACGAAAAATCTAATAACTATTCATAACACTTGCAATTGGCATATAAATTCTATTTATTTTATATTTACTAGCGTTATAACTCTTGAAATATATACTATATTTTCATGTTCTTATTTGCATTTTATAATAAAACAATAATAATAATGTAATAATTTCTACAATGTTCAAAAGTTCCTATTTATTAATTTTCAAGCAGTAAATTATTTGTACCTATAATACACTAAATCGCCTGATAGCTTATACACATGATGTAAATGTACAACATGAGACCTATTAAAAATATATTGCGCTGATTGCGCATCGTTAATTAAATTTTTTTCCATTTGCCATTGTCTCGTACACGAGAATAGGACAAACTGATGCTCTTATCATAAATGAGATGAGTATAGATGGTATATAGCGGTGCGGACACCCACGCGACCTCGTTCATACATTAAAAGGTCAAGCACGTTTGTTCTTCCACATTGAATTCGCTAATGGTACCGCTGACGTTAGTCACGCCAACTGTAAACATATTCTACGTAATTCGCATGTGCGTAATAACTTCGACATACGCCAATGTTTGCATTGGCGTATGTCAAAGTTATTATCCGTAGATATCCCTACCTTCATATAATGATAAAAGGATTTCAGCACATTCTAGTTCAACTCATAATTTGTATTATGCGTTATGTTGAAAAAAGATTTAAAAACATCATATTAAAAAAGGTGTTTGAAAAAGTTAGTTAATTATCCCACAAAATAATCCCACAATAAAATAAGATAAATCTGATTGCTTAAAATGATTCGAATTTAACTCTTGGAATTAATCAATTACAACCTAAGAATACTATAATCATGTTATTGTAAATGTAAATGATTGAAATATTCTAGTAGGTATTATACACGACACCATTGTGTATTTGCTTCATTATGATAAACAACAATCTAGTCGCTGCCTTTATGATTCAAACTACGCCGTAATTAAACCTTCTCATGATATATTATTTCAATACTTCAATTATGTATTCGTGTCGTATATTTCACAAATAGCTTTGAATTCAGATAAATACTGATCGATTTGTATTATTTGCAAAATTATAATTAATTACAGACTACATTTGTTTAATGATACATACACTATTCAAAGCCATACTCGAACATTAAATAATCGTCACTTGTTGAAACAAATTTGATTATATTTATTTTAAAATTATCAAATTTTTTTCTAATAATAAATCTTTCAACAATACTTCTCTCTATTTATATATTTATAGAACTTAAAGTTAATTTATAATTAAAATTACATTTCAACAATTAATAACTTAAATTGCTTTTTTAATAATATTTAATGGATCTGTGTTATAAATCTCATTATAAGTGATTCAACAAAATTTATAAATATCAGTAATGTAAATAATAAGAAGAATATTACATATCACACATAATGTATTTATATCTCGCAATTAATTTCAATTAAACAACTAAGAAATGTTAAAATTCGTTGCTTCTATAAGACGCTAACTGTGATAGAAAATGTTAAAAGCGAGTTCTATTTTAAAGATATTGGAACAATGATAGTTGTTCTTAAATGTCAAAACGTTTCCAAGTCGAAAGAGAAGCTTTGTTGCGAAATCATATTAACACAAGAATCTCAGTCTGAAATTAATACATTCATTATATTCGCAGCATGTATACGTTATGAGATGAGGAAATATGTAGCTATAATTATACGATGACTGCATGATTCGGGATGAATACGATTCGCGCAATTACCGACCACACGACTAACACATACTTGTAACAAGTGCAAATCTAATTGTGACATTCGCACG